AAGCCAAATGCACTGTGCGGCAGTTTCGTCCCAGAATGGGACTCATCAGCAAAATAGTTATCACAAAAAACATTTCGAACTTTATGGTAAAAGCCGTAAAATTTGCCCACTAGCGATCAGCCTGATGAGTAAATTCTCGGAGTTCCAGCGAGAAGCCATTACCAATCAAATTCAACCCTTTCGCATGTTGATAGTCACCAACCGAAGACATTGCATGAGTCTGGTCATTCCCTCAGACTGATTAAAGATAGATAATAAAGCCCTTGGATGCCAACCCAGCGATCTAGAAGTTAAACGTTTTCGTGCGATATCAAAGACCCCGGTTTGATTCCTGCAGGGAGTGCCTGTGAATGAGCACTGATGATGAGTCCCACGCCAGGACTAAAACTAATCTAATCCATTCAAGTTTATAATATCAGTCTAACAACGATCGAACTCCACTTGAAGCCCCTTTTAGGTTACTGCCGGTCCCAAGACGGGATAAAGGAGTAGGGTTGGGCATGGGGTCAGCAGAATCCCATAAAAAACTAACTCGCCGAAAGTTCAAGGTACCCATTCGGAAGAGTTATTACGTCTCATGATGAATTCCAAGTACCTTCCGAAGTCACCAGGCTGATGCCCTTCTCACAACCAAAGCAACAATTCTTTTAGGTACGTGGAATGTCCGAACATTGTGTGAGACCAGAAGATGGTTCCGATTTGCTGCAAAGATCAAAATATACAGTTTGGACGTACTTGGAATCAGTGAAACACATTGGACACAAGTTAGAGAACTAGACTGCTGTTATACTCCGGCAGCCATGAAGAAGAAAACTCCTCACTCACACAAAGAGTCACACTGATGCTGTCCAAACAAGCACAAAAGGCACTGATAGGATGGGAATCTCATGGGCCCAGGATCATTAGAGCGTCCCTGAAAACGAAGAAAGAGGGCATTACAATGAAGGTCATCCAGTACTATGCACTTGCAGACGACAACAATTGAGACGTTAAATATCAATTTTAGAAGGGGCTGCAGTCGACAGATGCTCATCAAATGAGTCGATCATTCTGATGGGACATTTAAATACCAAGGTTGGCATGAACAACACTGGATATGAAGACATTATGGGACGACATGGACTGGGAGAAAGGAACGAAAACGGTTAGAGATTTGCAAACCTCTGTGCCTTCAACAAACGGGTCATCGGAGGCACAATATTCCCTCACAAAAGCATACACAAAGCTACATGGATTTCACTGGATCACAATACTCAGAACCAAAATCCATGATATCTGCATCAATGGAATGTTAAGAAGGACCATAAAGGATGTGAGAACCAATACACGAGCTGATATAGACTCACAACGTATTCAAGATAGCCCTCAACAATAGGTTCCGGGCTTTTCACTTCCTACTCACTGGAAAGGCAACATCCATCAACAAATCTGGAAAGTAATCAGGGAGAAAATCACTTCAAAATGTCATGAGGTTCTTGGCCACAAGAATTACATTTAGAAGGAATGGGTGTCTGTTGGTGCCCTCGAAAAGTTGATGAAATGAGGAATACGAAGGCAGCAATTGAAACTAGCCGAACAAATGCTATTCTTCTTAAACTGTTAACGATATCACTCTCTACAGAGTCTTACCCATCGAAAGCATTTTTTCATGTGGGTCATAGGTATCTCAGCGACTGTTTCCGGAGAAATTTTCGCAGTGACCTCTGATCAGTATCTGAACATACGTCTACCCAAAGACATTGCAAATTGAGCTTTCAATATACGCATTATTTTAGTGTGACAGATGTAGGTTTATCGATGCATCATAGAAATTGCCGATTCAGAGAGAAATTTATTACCGGAAGTATCGATAGACAGTTTTAGTGGCCTACGTTAGTCTCTCCGCCATAGTGGCTCGAGATCCGCCTCCAATTCGGGTTGATGACGGAGAATGCGATGAAAAAAATCTTCTCGTCCATTTCAGTATACCATATTTAGGCGAAACCCGTTTGTTCAACGGCGGTAATAAGAAGCCAAATAAACATTTTCGGATGAATTTGTTACATACATTCATTCTAGGAGTGAAAAGCATACAAGCAAAGCGAAGCTAACTGGAGAAGTTGAATGGATAAACTGCATGTGATGAGGCATGATTAAGTATATAAAACGACACAAACAAGCTAAACATGTGAAAAGTATGCATGCATAAACACTGAAGTACAAGCAACCCAGGTTATGAGCGAATAACTGACAAGATCGAAAGACGTGTGAATAACTCGACAAGAATGGACTAATTAGTTTGTCCAAAAGCTAACACAAGCCCTTCGGACACATTGTATTTCTAAACAGACTGCACAGTTTAACATGATGAAACTGAGCTTCAAATTTGGTGTAATGAAGGATTAGTTTTAGCTCAGGGAAGTATATATTGTTAGGTTAGGTAAGTTTCCACCACAGACTTAGATTTACTGGACATATCTTCGGTCATAGGTACGTAATCAGGCGTGCGCATTTAAATACACTACGCCGCTCCTCTTTTACGAGGGCAGGTAGGCCCATAAATCACACACTATAATACACTGACCTGAAAATCAGATGTGTTTTCATATCTCGTCATTCGACACGCATTATTTCATGGGCTCCAGAATCCTCAGTTCAGTAGGTCAACAATACCGAATTCCTAGTATCTACAATCCTCTTCAACGGCTCATAAGTCTATCCGTAGGATGGAGGATCTCAAAATCGCAATCTGAAAAATATAGATCGCAACTGTGGTTGGTGGAGAACAGTGAAAATGTTTAAAATCTCCTCTACCTTAAGTTTGTCTTTTCGGATAACCTTAGACTAGTAACTTTAAAGTGCATTTCTGAACACACTACCGTCAACAGCATTCGTTTAAGTTTTAACTCAATTACAGTGCCATAATTTATTCCCGAAGTGCAGTCAAAGATGAGTCAAAAAATTAGCTAATGGTTCCTAGATGAAAGACCGAAAACATCGAGTACACAATCCTTGGAATTTACTTATCTGGGAGAAAATATAGTGATTAAATCCAAAATTTTAGACGCTTGTAGTGATTTCATTTTTACGAAGAGAATTAAATTAGTTTAGTACGGGCATTCATTCGGCAGCCAAATGTAGCATCGATTGTTTTAATGAAATTTTTGTTTATCTGTACTTTGTACGTGCAAACTTTCTGTCTGTGTCGCTGCCATTTTGGTTATACTGCTTGCTGTAGTTTCATCCCTCTTTTCTGGCACGATTTCGGTTTTCCTTTGGTACCACGAAATCACCAGCATATATGTTCCTTTGTATGGATTAACTCTTCTTCTCTGTCTTTGATTCACGGAGATGTTACGCTTAGTGACGGGAACGTAGTTCATCTGTAGTGGTGATCATCGTCAACCTCAACTCGCCTCACTACTCACTCAAACGGAAAAAGGAAACATTAGATTTAAGCCCTGATATTTTTTAAAGGCCTAATATCGCTTCCGATTTAATTCCTTATTGTTTTCACTCATTTTAGAATAGATAGCGAGGGATTGGTAAGTGAATGGTAATGGATACAAAGCGCGTTAACTGAAAGCTGCGATTATTTCAATCACGCAAATTTTAGCCAAGCATTTCATAAAATGTCCCGCTAAGAGCTTATGTACGGACTTTTCGAATGTGGAATAATAGGTTCCTATAAGTCTGATATAATGGATCAGTCCTAAGTGGCCCAATAAGTCTGTCACTGATGAATATTAGAAGTGTCCTAAAGGACTAATGTATATTACTGGTCAAGAAGGAAAGAGAATGCAAATGTATGCATCAGCATTTGTGTACATTATTCAGCAGCCTAACAGACTTCCTCTTTTCCACTTTCGCCTTCTCGCTTCAGTAATCACTTGGGGGAGTTAAAACATTTCCCGCTGAGATATCGGACACCTTCCATCGTGACAAAGACTAGGTAAATGAATCCCTCTCCCACTGAATACCTAGTGATGGTAAAATGAAAAGTATCTTGATGAAAATCAGTTAATAATGATGTGACTTTAGGCACCGTCTTGGACTAATTACAGGATATTCTTTAGGTGAATGAATTATCACTGCTGCTTAAGTTGTAGGCACTCCTATTTCTGAATGAAAACGAAGCCTGGAGGACAATAAGTGTTGTAACTAAACTCCATGAGCTCCACGAGCATGTTCCAGTGAACACTAAACACAAAAATAAGCACTAGTGCACCACCAATGAAACACTAATTCCATATCTTAAGGTAAGAAAGGAGTTAGAAGCTATAGTGAACCATGCCAATTATGCGTTGCATTGCAGAGTCTACTGAAGGCTTCAAAAATCTAAGGTAAGCTCTCCGAGCTCATGAATGCTTTGACGAAGATATGCTTCGGATTTTAGATCTTGAATTTATGAGATCCCAGTGGGATTACTGCATCCAAGCAGCTTTTCGATGTTTAATAAGAGAGTCGGGTGGACTTGAGTCTTTCTAAGATCCCTAAAGACAAGCGACTGAAACACATAACAGTAAACGTAGCTTTATTCAGCATTATACGCTTAATGTAATAAGTAGTTTCCAACACATTGCATTTTAAAAAGTTACTTTTCCCTTGTCACAAAAAGGCTTGAATAGAGTCTCTGTTCTTTTCCTTACATGCATGGGTTCTAGTGAATTTCCGTTCAACGGAAGGAATACGAGGATAAAATTTAAACGCGGTTAGTACTTGATGAAAAAATTCACTACCAGTAAGAAGCTTTTTAATGCTTTTCCTCTCAGGATAAAAATCAAGACGAAATTTTGTTGGCATTCGCTATCATAAATAATGACTTGGATGTTAAAATACTCTATCATTCTGTTTTCATTAGGACTGATTGCTTCTTAGATGGTCAGAAGAGTTTATTGACTAGAATAGAATACTTGGGGAGGAGGCAGAAATCTTGTTGATGCACAACTTAATATAGAACCTGGAGGATTACCATAGGACAATGTACCTACGGTACTTATAAGTGGTGATTGAACTACAGCGCTAATTTCAAGAGGGACGGTTCGTTTCTGGAGGTGGTCAGTTGCGCGTATTGTTGTTAAAACAATTTTTTACGGGTTTTATTGGACTATTTGTCAGTAATTTAAAAAATTAAGTTTATTTTTAAGACAGACTATCATAAAAATTAAAATTTAAGTTGAACATTTTCAGCCGAAACCCAGTTGTAAACTGAACTATAAAGGAGGGCTTGAGCGAAACTGCGAAAGCACGTGCCACGAAAAATCTTCAAATCATGATTTAGGTATCAGAGTTTGGGTTTTACGTCCAGCGTTACCGCGTCTTTAACATCGTTATACCAATTTTCACCGTACCTTGTGTAACGTTAACAATACGTTGAGATCCAGACGGCTTAAAATTATTTACTATTTGTTTGGCACTCTTTCGGTTCGGCAGTGTAGTATGATCAACCGGCGCTCAAAGTACGCTCAAATGATCCCACGGTTACAGACCTTGCACCTCTTTACGGAAAAAATTAATGATATCATCTGTTTCTTGCAAAAGAAGTCACGGATGACCTAAAAAATACTGCCAAACCCATCATAAATCAGTAAAAGACCTCAGGGTCACGACGCATATATCAGTCGGCCTTATCATTTCACTAACTCGAAGAATGTATGAATTTGACGTTTGCTTGTATTTAACAAATATGAATTGAGAAAAATTAGTAAAATATTTGTAAAGAATCCGAACACTAAAAATAAGAAGTCATAAAATCTATACTATTTCCAAAGTTACATTCAAAAAATTACTGTATTGTTCCTCGACCAGTTTTATTACTAACCAGTGTTTTTATGCTTTTAGATTCTCACGAGGCTGAAATAAAAAATATATCTCTCCCTAACCCTAAACAACAGCTAGCAAACAGTATACCCAATCATATACGAAAAACATGAAAATATATTTATCCCATCATCAGTAGTATCATTAATAAGCTGATCAGTACAAAAATATTTGTTTTTAAGAGATTGTCAAAAGTCAATTTTATTAAATCCAATGTTTAGTGCCAGTTATTCTTACCACACAAATGATTCTGACTCAACTTCTGTCGAAGATATTAGACTTCTGTTGATTTCCAGCATACCTAAGTTTTATCACGCATCTAATTTAAGGAATTTCTTCTCTCAATTCGTTGAGTCGTCAAAATTTTCATGTTTTCACTATCGTCACAGGCCAGATATTGTGCACATAGAATCAACCACCGAGATAGATGGAGTTCAGTTCCTTAAGTCCATCAAACGAGTTACTAAAAGCAAAACATCATGCTGTGCTATTTTTTCAATCTACGAGAAATATATCAAGGAGTTTTTTCGTCTATATAATGGTCTCAATTGGCCTAGTGTGAATGACGATGTACCTTTGGAGTTGAAATGTACCTTGTATTCATTGAACGATGCAACTGTAGAAAGTAAGATACAATTTTTTGATTTCACTGATATCTTTCCAGAATTTAGCTGTTTACCTGAATTCAAACCACTGTCATGGATGCCTCGTGGGAACGTCGGGACACCTACGCAGTATTTTTTCAATTTAATCAAAGACTGCAAACTCGAGAGTTCAGTTATCTCTAAGCTCAATTTAGATTTCTCTATGCAAACTAAGGGCCGCAAATTTGGTGCAGTTCCTTTCGTTTATGAAAGTTCAAATACAATTGATGAGAAGTTACACTCTACTGAATCAAGTGATATCGATCTTGAATCTGGTGTTGTTTGCAAGTCTTACATTCCTAATAAGGTATGTTAGGTTCTAATAACCTGTGCTACATGTGAGATTTGTTAGCTTACCAAAATCTTATGGATTATCAGACAGTTTACACTGCATTATTTAATTCCTGTAAAATAGCCACTAAAGATGTGTTAGCTGTTATACGACTCTATAATTTACATTTTGTAAGGGTGTACAAACCATATTGATGAAACAATATTCAATATCAGTGAGATATCGTTTTTTTGTTTAATTTCTGCTCCCATTAGTCAGAGTTGTGATCATACACCAGTATATATTCAACATTCTGTATGCAATGTACTATTAGTTTAGTTACTACAGCCGCTTTGTATTGATTAAAAAATGTCGGCTAATAAATTTCCATAAATAGTTAATAGCATATACGTTTTAGTCCCATGTACGCAGTTGTTTAATTGACTCGGATAAACAACTAATACTTTCTGATATAAATAGTTGAAAACTTAAATTTTAAATCCCACCTTTTATGATTTTAATACCATTTGTATCCAACGTGCATAGTGGTAGGCTCAAAAAGCAAATAACCACTTTAAAAACATAAATTTCTGTAAATCAGGAACTTGAGCACTTGGCTGAAACTATAAAAAGTAAAGGGCGCTTTATCATCTTCGTATAATTAGGATTCAGAGTGAAGTTAAAGAGCATCCACTTGATTGCTCAATTCGTTTAGAATTAACTACTCGAAGCCCCATTCGAACTAAGTGACGTTCAAAGGCTTACTGCAGTTGAGCCCTGGATTAACCGGCGGCGAGATGTAGAAATAAGCTATACATTGATTGTTGAAAGACAGATTCTTTTGTGATGACTATGTCAAGATCTGTCTGAATGATATAGTGTTCAGTTTTATAAGGTTTAGATTCAGTAAGTAGTCCTTTTACAGTGGTGTATACGGTGTCGACTCTTGACTATGTAGTCACTTCCAAATGCCACCTTATAACTTTTGTGTCCTTTCTATAGATGTGTTTGAGGAATGAGTATACCAATATATTTTAGTTTTTTAGTTATTTAATCAGTACCCGTATCATGTTCTATAATAGTAAACTAAGATAGATCAAAGATGTTTCGTGAAAACATCTCCTCTTGCAAAATGCATAAGCGTCTGTAAAAAGTTATTTCTATTCAGGTAATAAAAGAAATAACACTTGAGATTGTGTTTACATTAACGTAGTTCTTGGCTCAACCACACCCATGTAGTTACAGTAATCTAAAATGTCATCTTCCTAGACTTTGAAAATAGTTTGTATTCGTTTTTTTATTTTCCCATTATTTCCACTCTAATTTCAGAGTCTCTATTCAACAATTGTCTGTCGCACTATTAACTGCCCCAATAGATAATTATAGGTTCGTTATATTAGGAATATCTCTAAAAATACTTCTAGAAGCTTCACAATATCTAACGTAGTGAAAATACATGTTTAATTTTTTCATGCTCAGTTTTAACTTTCACTTTCTTTAACAATTTTAATTCCTAACACTTTTTATTTTAGCGCCACGTGCCTTTCAGTGATGTTTCAAAATTAGTCTCCGATCCAGTTGATCTTGAAGATGAAGATGATATCCCAGAAGAATGGGATCGTTTTGAAGCATTGCATGACGACCCATACAATTTAGACAGGGGAAACAAGGCACAGCTAAAGTATGAAAGTAAAATTGAACTTGTTTGGGAAAAGGGCGGTTCTGGTCTAGTTTTCCATACTGACCAACGTACTTGGGAGAAGTTAGACCCACTAAGAAAAGAAGAAATTTTTGACGAACCTTCGTCTTTTGACTGGGATATAGACATGCAGCCATATGAAACACCAACTGGAATAGGTACAGGTCCATGTCCAAACGGATTTCACGGTGGTGATAGAGATACAGCTGAACTTATTGATATCAATCGGGAAAAGGAATCCATTCATATCCAAGACCTCGCATACAATCCATGTGCTTTTTTTACCAACGAAGTAATTACTAAAGTGAGTCCTTTTATCCCTTTATTTTTCGGTCAAATAAGTGTGCTTTTGTAAAGCTTCCAAATATATTTTTTAATCAAAAATTCATTATAAAATATCGCTGTAAGATTACTTGGTTATTCGGTGAGGCTGGCCAGTAAAATAAGAATTTCAAAATAAAATAGCGACTACAGGTTGAGAATATCTAAAGGTGCTGAATTCTTTCTATTCATTCTCTGTTAAGGTGCTTTATTATGATACTTACGCTTGTTGCCCCCAGTGGGGAGCATAGGCCACCGACCAGCATTCTCCAACCTACTCTGTCCTGGGCCTTCCTTTCCAGTTCTGTCCATTTTCTGTTCTTCTCATGTCTGTCTCCATTTCTTGGAGTAATGTGTTCTTTGGTCTTCCTCTTTTCCTCTTACCTTGAGGTTTCCAAATGAGCGCTTGTCTTGTGACACAGTTGGGTGCTTTCCGCAATCTGTGTCACACCCGCTACCAGCGCCTCTTCCTTATTTCTTCCCCTACGGGAATCCGGTTTGTTCTTTCCCACAGTAGGTTGTTTCTAATAGTGCCCGACCAATTGATCCTCAGTATCTTGCATAGAAAACTGCTGATAAACACTTGTATCTTCTGGGTTATGGGTTTCGTAGTTCTCCAAGTTTCCGCTCCATATAGTAGAACTGTCTTGATATTTGTATTGAAAATTCTGACTTTGGTGTTTGTTGATAGTTGTTTTGAGTTCCAGATGTTCCAGATATATAGAGATTTTTACGTCCTCCAATTCATCTCCATCAAGTGTGATACGGTTGGTGCATGTTGTGTTGTATTGGCGGATCTTGCTTTTCCCTTTATGTATGTTGAGGCCTGACGCTGCTGTTACACTGGTCGTCTTCTCTTGCACTTGTTACTGCGTGTGCAACAGAAGAGCCGGATGATCTGCGAAGTCTGGAATGTTCAGCTGCATCCTGACTGTCCACTGTATCCTGTGCTTCCGCCCAGATGTTGACGTCTTCATAAAACAGTTGACCACCGAGAGAAAGCGAAACGGTGGGAGTAAGCAACCTTGCCTGACACTAGTCTTCACTTGAAATGAGTCTGTGAGCTATTTTACATAGACGATTTTGCAGTTTAATCCATCATAAGAATTCTGTATAACGTTGAATATCTTGTCAGTCATGCCATATTTTGGAAGAAGCCTCCATAGTTTCAACCTGTCCATGTTGTCGAGTGCTTTCTCTTAGTCAATCAAGTGGATCTAGAGTGGTGAATTCGATTCAGTTGATTGTTCCTTATGGATTCCAGCCTGCTGGTCTTGAGGTTGGACGTCTCTTGAATGTTTCGTTCTGTTTAACAACACCCTTTTGAAAACAGCCTGGTGTTGAGGGAAGAATGATGCCTCTGTAGTTCTCACACTTATCGAGATCGTGGTATGTTCTTGTAGTGAAAACTGTTCAGTTTACTTGTATTATGTCACGCATTTTTGTTATTGAGTAATTTCATAAAAGCTCTACTAGCAGCTTTTATACAAAACTATTTTTGTTAGAAAGAGAACTAAGTTCGATTGAAATAAGAATGGAATAAAAGGTATTTGTGTCAGGTTATAATCCAATGGTACATGTTGGTACTGACTAAAAAGCCTTGTCGACTGACCATCTATAGTAGTTTATATTCTTTATAATAAGAACTGAGAATCTTCTTTGTTTATATCTTCATTTTAATTTTTATAATCATTACTATTATTTAATCTGATGTTCCTATATCTTGATAAAAACGTATTGTGTTTAATTCATCCCTGGTTGTTTAGCTCTTATCAAGTTTTTAGTATTCTCGAACTATTAGTCAGTAAATTCACGGATAAATGATAAGAATATCTTTATAAAGTAGTAATCTGGGGTTTAAAAAACCAATAGGTTATAGGTCCCAACCTCTACCTACCAACATTGGTTTAGACAGCCGAGTAGTATTTAGACCTCATAATAATGTTGTCCAAAACCGAGTATTTGGAAAGTGAGTTATGTTAGTCTGTAATAACTACATGTTTGAACTTACCGAGTATAAGTTCTGACGGAGATTGTAATCGAAGATATTACCGATGAATTACTCGAGTTAATAATTCAGTTTCAAACATGGCAATTCAGTAACCGATAATATTTTATCGCTCAATGACTTTCGACTGTAACTTTGTAACTTTGTCATAACAAATTATTTTAGATAAACTGCTGTCTGTATTTCTACTTGCCTCGTTTCATGTGACAAATACTATTTACTGTTATTCCAAGACAAGGACAGAATTCCCGATTGTTTCAGCTTAACTGGAACTTTCAAAATGGATGCAGTAAGAATATAGTAACATATTGTGTTTACAGCCTGTTTCTCTAAATGTGTCACTAATGAATTATGTTGACCTTCTTTTACTCTTCTAAACCTTTTCTACAGGGCTATGGTGAGCAATTATTAAAGCGAATGGGTTGGATCCCAGGTACAGGACTTGGAGCCAAAAGAGGCCGTTTCAAAGTGTCTTCGGGGATAAGGGTCCCCATAACGTGTGAAGGTAGTCTTCCACCCAAAGTCCGAAAGGGTCTTGGTTACTACGGGCCTCGGATTCTACGCAATTCTAACAGGCAGTTATTAAGTGGCAAATCAACCTCCTGCAAAGTAGGAAGCACAGTAAAACCTGTATATATCCGATCTGTGTTTGATTCTCCACAGACTGTTGCGTGTCGTAGCGGACTTGGATTATCTCCCAGTGTTTTGAGACGTAATGATCTTGGGATGGTCGTGAAATGGCTAAGTGATAGAGAAGAAACTTCAAGCCATCTGAAATCCCCTAAACCTTTACATGACCAACTTTCAATCAGAAACCGTACCATTATTCTGAACACATACAGTAATTTATCTAAAGAAGGTATTTCTTTTGTATCTGGTGGTTACTTAAATCCATCATAAATTTTTTTTCTCTATATTTAAACCTCATGTACATATTCATATTCTATCGTAACTCACTGTGTATAAACCAGAGACTTTCGTGATTTATTTACGGCTGTATATTTTATCTTACAATTTCTGTGCCCAAATCCTAATTTGTTCTTCTATTAGTCATATTTTCCATCTTTATCTTCTAATGTGGTGTTTTCATAATATTGTAATACTATATTAGTTAATATTTAACAACTTACTCTCTGGAGTTTTATGGTGTGTACTGGTCATCAGGTTTAATCATTCGGCCATTATATAGCTAATCGGTCAGTCAGTCAGCTACAACGAAGAACTTCGTAGGTACATCAGTTTAAGTTGCCATACCACATTAGCACAGAGAGATGGGATTGTCAATTCAAATCCCGTAATAGTATAAGTAGCAGAAGTATTCGCACTAATCAAAATGATCACGGATCGAAGATATAATTCAAGAAGTATATCCTATTGGAATCAATTCGAAAGAGAAAGAAGGTCGTCGGGAATTTAGAAGATTAGAATTTGAGAGAAGACAAAGAATGGATTTATTTGCTCCATTGCAAACGATTTTCAGCCATGTTATTCAGGGTCTCTAACCATCGGTTACTATTGTCTCGCTGACCCCAACCAGGTGGTCGACACCTACCAACATAACCTCAGTCCACTTGTCAGTGACTGTATGGATTTCTGCCTTGTTTTGGTTTGACCACCCCTAGCTTTCATCCAACCTACTCCTACACCACAAAACATAGCTCGACGAGGCAGTCGGTGGTCGGGCATACGTAGCACATGTCCCAACCATCTCAACTGATGAGGTCAGCCAGTCAGTCAGATGCAACGTAGAACCTCGTACGTAAGTACATCAGTTCATGTTGCCATACCACATTAGCACAGAGATGTAATTGTCAATTCAGATCCAATAGTAGTAGAGGTAGTAAAGGTATTAGAAGTAATCGGAGAGGTTAGGATTAGAGTATATTATTCAAGAAGTATGATTCAGTGAGATAAGTTTAGAAAGACAAAACTAGAGGTGTCGAAGAATCCATAAGATTAGGATTTGAGAGAACACAAAGAATAAGGGCACCGGCGCCATCGCAAACGCGACCGATGAGGATTCACAACTTGATCTGTTGATCTGCCATCCTTACTTAGTACTATTTTCATAACAGCAGTATTGTTTACTAGATGGTCCAATGATACACGAGCAATGCTTCGAAGACATCTATAATCTAATACTAATAGCCAACGAATGTCCTCTGTTCTTAATGGCGATGTTTCACGCCCGTAAAGTAGGCCAAGCAAACTGCTGCGCTGTAGACTCATCCTCTGACTAGCAAACGGATATCCCGCCCACGCCATAAGTGACGCAAGTTGGCGAAGGCGAATCGAGCCTTCTGTATCCATGCTGAGATTTCGTCACACATCAGGCTATCAACACTGATGATTCTCCCAAGAGAATTAAAGGGGTCAACACGCTCAACTGCTTCACTCCCTATCACTAGTTCTAGTGCCGTCGCAAGCCGATCCTTAAGCATCAAAATAGATGTGTTGTAATGTTCTCTAGACTCATGAAGTTAATAATTACCGTTAGAACAAGGGCTATTATATCAACACTGGAAATTGTATATCCAGTCATATGGAACTTGTAATTTTGAATCGATAACAGAATTCGTAATATGAGCAACTTGCATATACACTTCCTGAACATGAGCAGACAGAAAAACATGGACCATCACATTCATTTGTATTTACTCTTTCTTGTCATTAGTGGATGTGAATTGATTTCAATTGCTTAGATGCAATCGAAATCGTAGAATTAATTCGTCGAGTAGCCATTCGCTAGAGTAAAGATGTCTTTTGAACAACTTTCAAGTCAAAAATGTGATGTCATCATAAGATATTTTATTATTTAAGTATGTATAGGGAAATATATGATCGTCGTTTTGTCAGCATCCTAGTTTTGACCTGTATAAAATTAACAACCGCTCAGTTTACTGTTTTAGTAAAGCCGATATCAATGTGGATTTTAAAGCGAATAAGATGATATACTGTGACTTGATTCACTTCATTTCCCCGATGTTTTTCAAAGTGAATCCAAAACTTTAGTATTTGTGGATGTATTCTGTTTGGTCTTGTACTTATGGTACCTCGACTAGATGCATCAACATACTTAGTTTGTTATTTCAACATAACTCTCTCGTAGATATTCTTTTAGAAGCTACACCTTCCGACAAAATCTCACTAATTGATCCCTCTTCCATTTGGGATTTTACTTATGCATCAAAAAACAAGGTGTTGAGTAATTCGCTACTCAAAATGAGTCGAAAATACGGCGAAACAAGAGAAAAAATTATTTAGTCGGTAAACGAACAAGTAAAGAATGAGAATAGGATTTATTAGAGGATAAATGTATAATAAGAACATACCTAGGGAAGACATTATTTAGCTCGGATGTGTGCCCTAATTTTTCAAGAAATATACAGTTAGAAGTTACAACCGGATTACTAGCCTCAATTCTGATAAATGTTTAGCAACGAATCACACCGCGTTGAATAAATACAACATCCAGAGAGTCGTGATGAACTAACGAATATCAATCTTTGTTTATCATGCATTCCGAGGCAATTAAACCAAACTTATAAATTGAAACTCTATACTTTTATCTTAGTAACTAATCAACAAAACAGATAACTGAGTTAGTTTACCCAAACTCCTATCCGTATTCTTGTTACGTAAACAGCATAAACTAACCATGAAGTTGTTATATTGTCCTCTAATGAATGTAGTTTTCATCGTTCACTCCAAACTTTAAGTAAACGATAACTTAGCACCATTTAATGGAATATTATCAGTAAGAAAGGTTAGTAATGATCCTACTCAAGCATTCTCTTACTTTGGTAAAAAATCTGATGCCTGATTCGGTAACATTCCCAGTAGGTTTGAGTAAAATAGTTATTATCCATTGAGGAGTCGTATGTGAACACCTAACGATTCGTTTCACCATGTTCTTAAAACTTAAAAATTTTCCAATCATAGCTGGTTTCCGTAAAGATTTCCTTAATCATTTTACAATAATAATCTAAGACGCTTTACGTTTTTGGCAAGGTGTTTTCTCTTCAGTAGGGTTTCTAGTCGCTTTCCTTCAAATTTAACGTGAAAATAGGTTATTTTGCTATATATCAGGTATCACTAATCAAGCTAAAATGGCTACAGTGTCATTAATTGGTTAGCACTATCCAGGAACTATCCACTGCTACGTTAAATTGAGTACATTTGTATTACTACAAGCATTAGTGATTGTTACTTAAGTAGTTTGATATTTTATCTCCCTTCTAAGAATAAGGTTCATATTGATAAACTGCTGAATTTTTTTCTTTAGAGCTTGTTTTTTGTAATGCAACTGTCTAGTTAACTAGGACTCGACTTGATCTAACACATCCATATTGTTAACTATCTTTGTAATAATGTTAAGACAGTATGACATAATGTCTTGGTAACTTAAACTATGATGATTGGATTATAACGGAAGGGATTACTAGCCACTCTTAAATAGACAGTTTGAGTTATACATAGTTGAAAAGTTTTACATTATTTATGTAATATGGCAAGATGATTGTTATTCAATGATTGCAGTTTAAAAACATACAGAATAATCAATTTCATTATACTAACTTTAACAAAAAGTTAGAAAATAGCTCGATTTCTTCTGTTATTGACAAATGTTTTTTTTGAAATTCCATAACGCGATCAGCTCACTTATCAATTTCTATGCTTTGTACTCTCTGTTTTTCGCCCAAATAAATCATTATTAACAGGCCGAAATATTATTTTCAAGTTAATTAAAATAAAAAGTGGTACATCTCTGTGTATTGTTAAGTAATTTTCATTAAATTTAGTTGAAGTGAAATTGTTTCTCTCGAAGTTTTTCACTACTTACAAGTAGTAAAGTTAGCAGCAGCTTTTTCAGGTGAAAAAGCTAAGAGAGTCCGCATTTTGAATCCCTAACACTACTGAGTTAAAAAGTTAACAAATAAAAACTAACTGAACGAAAAAATAATACTTATTATTAACTAACTACTCATCAGTGTTAATTGAAAGTAGCCTGTAGCAGGTTTTGTAATAAAGGTGACTTAATACTATTTTACCAATTGGTTTAATTAGCTTTTAACAGATTATTTCATACAAAGTACCTTTCACTGAATAAATTAGTACTTATTTGAAATTTAATAAAGACGAATATCCCGTTGGAACAAATCAAAGAGTAATCTTCGCTTTTCGTCAGACAAGTGCATTTCTTCTTAATACAAGTAGTTAACTTGAAAATAGTCTTATTGAATAGATCTTCACGCAGAATATGACCTACTGATAGAAGTCTGCTTCAATTATAAAAACTTAACAAGAATATTCTAGTATTTGGTTTTAAAAAATCAGTTTGTCGTAAAAATACCAAAATGTTTGGTATTCTGATGTTAACTCAAAGATAATTAAATATCATCTACCTCATCTGTAAAAATGTAAACCGTGGTAACTTGGGTAATTTTGTGCAATATGAGGATGATTTTCACCACAAACTTAAATTACCTGAAATACTATCGAATAAAATATTACAGTAATAGGTGACTGTAGTATCTTAGTTTAAAAGTTCATAACAAAAAACATCCTTAGCCAGACATGTGATAGAATTTAAAACCTGGTATAATGCAACTAAGCTATCTAACCGATCTCCAGAGGTCTAAACCTTCAATGTCAAAAACACATTCAATATAAAGTCATCTACGTTAATTTCTACAAGTGGTTAATTGATTCACTTTAAAGTTCACAGTTTATCATAAGACCTTAAAGAAATGTACATAATAATTAATTCTATAAATTAACTTCATTAGGATTTTATCATTTTTTTTCTATAATATACCGAACCAAAACAAAAAAATTTCTTCATGGCTTCCTAGTTTCCATTGATTCTCTTGTTAACAACAGACCGTTATAGAAATAACCTTTAGATTGAGGCAAACAATAAATAATTATCATACTTTACTTATTCATCATTTTGTTTGTTTTAGAAACTAATGAAGCTAACCAGCCTTAATTCACTCACCCTTTATTTTATAATATGTAAGTCATTAGAAAAAAAGATATCAGTTCCTCTGTTGTACAAATAGGTTTATGTACTGATGATTACATAAATCTGAAAAATATACTGAAATCAGTCACTTTTCGATGGATGTAACAA